GTGATAGAAGGAAATTATCGTAATGAGTTGATAGTTTTCATTACTTACACTTTATTTTGTTCTCATAACCAGTTACTTGGAATAAGGTCGAATGATTAAACATAAATATAGTGCAAAATTTCAAGTGAGTGATGATCACATTTTTTAGCTGTAGTGTATTTTATTTGACCCCGTTCAAGGTGTGTGTGTTAAGAACTACTGATCATCGATATTTTGGTTAATGGAATGACTGGAGGGCAGGGACCAACTTCAAAGTCATGACAAATGCGATATCTGACATTGGCTTGCACATTAGGCTATAATTGGCTTGCTCACTAGGATATAGTTATTATAGTAGGTTTGATCGCTGTCTGGTTGCTGTCTGGTTGTGTCATAATGAGGATGGCGGCACAGTCGCAGGTGCAGAACCCAGATGGTGTGCACCCTGGCAGGAGAACCCTCAATAATACACAATAGTGCTTCACAATCACATGTTACACAATCTCCAGCTGAGGCCTACAATGAAGCCCCCCACCCCACTCCTCGGCCTTAGAGGATATTACCATACTAGACGATGAGTCACACGCACATGGTAAGACAAATAAATGGATCACTTAAGCTCATGAGCCAGCAAGGTGAGAAGGCACTTTTATTTTTTAAAGTTTTTTTACCTAACTTTGAAGATCTCGGAATTCAGAGAGTTGCGTGTGGTTGGAATCGACACATGTGTGTAGAACTTATTAAATAACCATTACCCAAATAAAAACAAACAACGATGGCTGGTGTATCGCTCATCAAAGAGCAACACAACTTAGTTCAGTTACTCCTGTGTGTGACCGTCAGCTCTCGTCCACCTTGTTATGGTTTAATTTTGGGCCAAATTATATATTGTTACATGTCTTTGTCGTTTGATGAATTGATATTCACCTCACATAAACATTGTGATTACTCCATATATAGCAAACAAACTGGAAAATAGATTATCGCGATGCGTTATGTACAAATACAGCGGCGTGGAACTGAGCGGCCATAGATAAACTAAAATCTTGATATAAATAATAAGTAAATAAACGAAATTCTGAAAGATTTGTGCAATTACAAAACACCTTCCTCCATACACACTTTCTCTCCACAAAGAGCCAGACCATCACCAACAATTGTTTTACTGTTGCAGTGTGTACTTGACTATACTGTATGTGTGTGTGTGAGAGAGTGTGTGGATGCTGTGCAATTGACTGTGTATGTGTGTGAGTTAGATCACACAGGGTGGTGTAATGGGTCTAGTGTGGCAGCAATATTTCAGTGTTATGATGCAGGCACTGCTTGCTTCCTCTCGCTTTCAGCTACTGCCGCTGCCTATCCCTCGTGGTGAACAAGAAAGCAACCTTGCGTTAGTCTTCCCCTGCCAGTACACAACCTCTTCACCATCAAGACTCCTTCTGCGCCTCCTCGTGGCGACACACGGTATACGGGTGCCTCGCGGCACCAGGCTAGACCAGTAGGGGATCTCGGAGCAGCGCATGTGGACACGCCCTGGCGCCTACCAACACTGCCCCACTGCGTTGCGAATTAACTTTAGTAGGTATAAGGCTACGAGAAAACCCCAAACGAAAAATCGGAGTGAAGCCCCGCATCAGGGAAACATGCTTACAGAACTCCAGTAAGACTCAGTAGCGGAATAGGCGGAAGAGGTGACTATCATGGGAATCCAATGAGTACACCAGCAGATGAAGGCAGTGCAAGACGGTTAAGCTACTAAGGCGAAACCTGACAAACTGGGCTATCAGCAGTCCATTGCTACTCTTCCTCTCGCCAGTCGTTCCAGCTTGCTGCACCACTGGCACAGGAAAAGGGAGAGCCAAGATGTGTGGTTGTAGCCTGAGCTCCTGCCTCACCACATAAGTCAACTCACGTGTAGTCATCATGCAGCTCATCATACTTCTCATCACCATCAAAACCCCTATACCCCCAAAAGTCCTATTGCGACAGATGAGTGGTGACGGGGTTATGCAGAGATGACTACCGGAAGTCTCTAGTCACAAATCTGCACATGGGAGGCATAGATATGATGGTCGTTTATGCACTGGGATCTAGGCAACAGTGCAATCCGGTCCTGCCTGTGCGACTGAGCAGCTCTTCTCAGGGGCCACTCTGCTCACCCCACATGGGGAGTGGGCTTGAAATGGTGCTCTAAACATAGCCTGCCTAAATAATCAACTTTATTGTGCAACATCACAGAAAAAAGCAAAAACAACCCATACAAATTGTTATGGTCGCTGCCTAGAATGTAAGGGCCCCTCTGGATACTGGCACAAATGAGCATCCTGAGAGATGAACCGCCCTTGTGGCAAAAGAGTTGTCTAGGTATAACATCACCATCGCAACCATTAGTGAGTCCCGGTTCCCAGACGAGGATCGACTCAGAGAATGGTGACTCCAATGCCAGAGTTGGAAGAGATGCTGACATATGGCAGGGAATCATAAGGAGAAACGTAGCAGGTAAGTATAATCCCAATGGCCTACTCCTCTTCAGCAAGTATGCTGCACACAACCTCACTATCACCATTCGAGGCAACAGCCACGATCCAAACACTGACATCTCATTGACTGCATTATTGACAAAGAAAGATATCGCCGAGATGTCCTCATCATCCGAGACATGTGTGGCTGAGACCACTGTCATGCTGATCGATGGCAGGTCAGAACCAAAGTCTCCCTTCACGTCACCCCAAAACGGTGAAAGCAACACGCATCTAGAAAAGGCTTTAACACTAAGCAACTGGAGGATCCAGCTGCAGTACATACTTTCAGAGAGCAGCTCAACGATGGGCTGATAAACACCTCAGCAACAAACAACCAAAATCCGAGTGCCAAATGGGGTCTCATCAAAGCTGTCATCACAAAACCCTGCAACGAGACCCTCAGCCAAATCAAAAGAAAACACCAGGATTGGTTTGATGAAAGCGACCCGAAAATCGAAATACTCGTCAGTAGTAAACATGCTGCTGTCATTGACTGGCAGAACAACCCTAAGTCTCGGACCAAAGCTGATACCTTCCTCGAGAAGAAAGTGGCGACCCAGTGCGATCTTTGTAAACTAATGAACGAATGGTGGAAAAATATGTGAAATGTAAAAATTTATGGATCAGCACATGATGGGTGAATTTTTCAATTCCATTAAATACCCCATTTCCCAACCCTGGGATCGCCAAGCGTTTTTCTGGGGTCGCGAAGCAGTTCTGCCACTTCATGGAAAATTCCCACAAATCTGTAGGAAAATAGGCCTACGTGGGAGGTGTTGAATGAAATTTGATGGATTTCGATATAAATCTGTGTGATTTCGTGGGGGAAATTAGCTAAGGTGCATGGGAATTTTCGTTCTTAGAAGTGGCAACACCGTCTCCAAGCCCTACGCCGTCCTACGGCCTACGGCCCTAGTGTATCATACAGGTTCAGTTCCCGAATCTGAGATGTTGCCAGCATATATTTATATGTTACTACTAAAAACAAGTATTTGCTGAATTCTCAGGTACATAAAATACTTATGTAATATTGGTTGAATGATTTGGAGATATTGTTAAATACTGCTGATAAGGTGGCGAATTTTTTCTTGCGTATTATTTCATAAATATAATGCACTAACCGCCAACCCCCGCCAACCCTGAATCACACGTGTTTCCCCTCAGCCAGTCAACCACTCGAGCTGTGGTCGAATGGGAAAGTAACCTGTTCATCTTCTGTTGGTAAGTTAATGTATTTTTACCCGTATATTGAATTGGGAATGTGCTGCATAGGTACACTCAGTGTGTCCTTTTTTAAATGAATATGAAAAAGAAGTGTAGCGTCACCAGAAACAGTGAGGGAGGTGATAGGAAGGGGGTGGGGTGAAGGGAAGGGGATGGGGTGAATGGAAGTGGGGTAGGGTGAAGGGAAAGGGGTGGAGTCTGAAGGGAAGGGATTGGGGGTGAATGGAAGGGGTGGGGGTTGGGGGGAAGGGTGGGGTCTGAAGGAAGGGATTGGGGTGAAAGGGGTGGGGGGGTTAAAGGAAGGGATCGGAGGGTGAATGGAAGTGGGTGGGGTGTGAAGGGATGAGGATTGGGGTGATAGGAAGGGAGGGGGGGGGAAGGGAAGGGGGTGGGGATGATAAGAATGGGCTGGGGATGATAAGAATGGGTGGAGATGGGGGCTGGGATTGGGGTGACAGGAATGGGGTAGGGGGGTTAAGAGAAGGGAAGGGGGTGGGGTGGTAGGAAGGCGGTGGAGTTGGTAGGAAGGAGGTGGCGGTGAAGGGAAAGGGGTGGAGGGTGAAGGGAAGGGAATGGGAGGTGAATTGAAGCGGGTGTAAGGGTGGAGGGTGAATGGAAAGGGGTGGGGTGAAGGGAAAGGGGTAGACGACGAAGTATTGTACAACAGTATGTCAGTGATACTTGTTGGTTGTTGCACAAGTCGATGCTAATTTTACCTTCCGTACATGTGCGTTGCGTTTTTTTAAATTTGTACCAAAGAGCATCTCTTGCCTGATGCATCAGTAAGCAAGTCTATATTTAATTTCAGAGTCTTCAGTGATGTCCAGAAAGAGGGTGTACAGAGAAGAATTTCTTGACATTGGGTTTACGCTTCTCATCGATCATGGGGTCGAAAAACCTCAATCCGTTATATGTGGCGAAGTGTTCAGTCACGAGTCGCTCAAAGAAAAAAATCTTAGGCGCCATCTCCAGGGAAAACATTCGACGCTGGCAGAGATAGGCTACCAGTATTTTAAGAGGAAAGAAGAACAACTGAAGCGTCAGCGGTTAGACACCCCTATGAACACAGCAGTGATTTCTGTTTGGCAAGCAACAATTGCATCCTATCTGGTTGCAAAAAGAATTGCCAAGTGTAAACAGCTACACACAATTGGGGAAAATTTCGTGAAGACAGCAGTCGTTGATATGGTTCACACTGTTATCGGAGATGATACAGTGAAAAAGATTGAAACTATTCCACTGTCAAATATCACGGTTACCCGATGAATTCAAGAAATGTCAGCAGACATCAAAAAACAAGTAGTAGCTGCCATCAAGGAAAGGGGAAAATTCAGCTTGCAGTTGGATGAGTCAACTGACGTCAGGGACGATGCACAGCTCTTGGTATATGCGCGGTACCAAGGGAAGAGCGACATGGAAGAGAACTTCCTGTTCTGTAAACGACTGGAGACGACAACAACAGGTGAGGATCTGTTCAAGTTGGTTGACAGTTTCATCAAGGAAGAAAACCTAAGCTGGGATCAGTGTTTCAGTGTGTGCTCAGACGGAGCATCGACAATGCTAGGGGCACGTCAAGGTTTCACTGCTAGGGTAAAATAAAACAAGTCAACCCCGCAGTGATAGTGGTTCATTATCTGCTCCACCGGGAAAACCTTGCCTCCCGGAAACTGCCACATGAGCTTAACTCTGTGATGGAAGATGTGATTCAAATAGTAAACTTTATTAAATCATCAGCTCTGAATTCAAGGTAATCAGATGTGCTCTGATATGGGGTCGGAGTATGAACACCTGCTTTACTACTCTGCCGTCAGGTGGCTGTCTCGAGGGAAAGTGCTCCAGAGAGTGTTTGAAATGCGTACACAGGTTGAAATCTTCTTGAACGAGAAGAAACACGCACTGGCATCAAGGCTTTCGGAACCAAGGTGGTTGCTTCAGCTGGCATATCTGGCAGATATATTCTCTGAGTTGAATTTGCTGAACATGTCCATGCACGGAAGGGATGAAACTTATCTCACTTTGTCAGAAAAACTCAAGGCATTCAAGGCGAAGCTGAGATTGTGGAAGGGAAAGATTGAACGGGAGAAAGCTGCGTTCTTTCCACTCTTGAACCTTTTTCTCGAAGATGAAGAAGACGTCTCACTTCTGGACATACAAAATATCATTGTTGAGCATCTTGAGAAGTTGAGTGATGAGTTCGACAGGTATATTCCGGATGAAGAATTGCACGAGAAATATAAATGGGTGCGCAGACCCTTCAATGTCCAAGTCGAAGACCTCTCAGAAGAAGAGTCTTCCATTTAAAGTCTCCAAGAGGAGCTCATCGAAGTACAACATGATGAAACTCTCCTCTTCAACTTTAACCTACAGTCACTCGGCGTGTTCTGAACTGCTGTTAAGAAGGAGAAACCAGTCCTTGGAAGCGAAGCTGTGAAAGTGCTAATGCCATTCGCTACTACTTAATTGTGCGAATCCGGGTTTTCCGCTCTGGCTCTCATCAAAACAAAAAGCAGGAATCAGTTGCAACCTGAACACGATTTGAGAGTAGCACTTTCCACGACTGAGCCACGACTGGAGAAACTTAACAGCCAGATCCAGGCTCAAGGCTCCCATTAGATGAGATTACCCAACTCTGATTTCGAATTTGATCAGAGACATTTTCATTTTTAGTTAGTCTTGTGGGATGTGACAAAACAATAGTATTTCATCTTAACATTGAAGTACATGTTTCATTAAGTTTAAGCCTTCTTTAAAGTTCGTTTAAATGCATATTACATTAATGAAAAATTATTATCTTGTTTACTTGAATAAAATTGAACCATGTTATTTCTTTTTTAGCATCCTTACAGTACCTTTTTTTACACTGTCAATTCGTAAAATAATAGGTATTTATAGTTATACCCCACACCCAGGAATATTAACCTTAACCAGTGGGGTCGCGGTCATGGCTAGAGGTGCATGATTGGGGTCGCCAGAAAAAAAGGTTGGGAATCACTGCGTTAAAACAATAAATGACCCAACCCCTCATGGTATTGCCCCCTTTCACTCATCCGACGGTAACTCCCTAATTAAAGACGATAACATCCGTCAGGGCTAAAAAGATCACTGCCATTCGCTGCTCAACCGAAATGACTCATTACAGCTATCATCCATCTCTGTATGAGGTAGCTACTGCCATCAAGCAGATGAAAAATAACAAAGCCACAGGGCCGGATGGAATCCCATCCGAGGTATATAAAGCAGGAGGACCTCTGCTTACCAACCGTCTCCACTCTCTCCTGGAGAATATATGGGAGATGGAGAAAATCCACCAAGATCGCCAATATTTATAAGAGCAGGGGAAACTGGTCAGACTGTGGCAGCTACCACGGGATTCAACTGCGACCTGACTTGTACAGTAGCTAAAAAAAGTGTATGCATATACTCTGTGTGAAATAATAATAATAATAATAATGGAAGCCCCTCGAAATCGCGGATGGCCGACCCAAGGGCCTCCTAGGTGTGAATTTGTTAAGGTGTAGAAGCTGTCGCCAACACAACAACCACACACTAAGTTATCGAGCTGCATGACACAGTGTCACAGAATAGTCCGAGAAGACTGGACAACTCCACTGGCTAACCATTACCCCGGAATACGATCCGCAAATCGATAATCCAGGTTCCCAATTAATGCTGGGTAGACAGAGGCAAATGGCGTAAAGAAACCTGCCCATAGTTTTACCCTAAACGAGGATCGAACTCGGGTCCGCTCGCTGGGAGGCGAGGATGCTGAACAATGCACCACCAATTGAATCAATATGACATCACGGACGATAGGTATTGCGATAATTCTTGTTGTTCCACCCACACGTTGGTAGACCTGTATTCACGAGGGGCCATATGTTGATTTGTAGCGACATTTTCTGCCGTACTCATAGTTTAATATATTTGTAATGTCATAAATAGCTTTGTAATGGCCCCTGTTTCATCAACAGAAAGATTATATAAATGGGTTAATTACATATTGATTTATATACATAATCATCCCCTGTAACTTTCCACTAGCTTTGAGGAGTCATCTTGATGGCATCTGGTCTTCACCCTTCCTTATAAGATGTGGCAAGAGAGAGCTTAGGTCAGCATTTGAAAGGGCCGGGCGATCAGGCCCCACTCTCCCTCCACGCCTCACATAGAAAGGACGTCTTTAAGCAGGTCTATTTACATAGCCTCCGTTCTTCTCTTAACACTCATAGTTACAGTGATAAGTTACGGTTGATTTACCCTTTGGAATTGTCTTAGTTATTCCTGAATAAATGGATAACAGACAACTTGGGTTTTGCTACTAATACCCAATAAAATATAAACATTCCAGCCTAGTTAACTTCGACAGAGCCCTACAGTTAACAGGCTATGACATGATGGCAGCAGTGGTTACGAAAACGAAATTCTTGTGTGAATACACATTCTACATAACAAGTCATCAGTGTTTTCCGAAACAAGAAAAACAAAGAAACAGTGACTTGTTACATAAAAGTTCGAAGTGTAGTGATATATCCCGTAGTGAAACGATTATAGTTGAGTGACTCATTCTGTCACCCAAAGACGGTGCAGAATTATTCCCAATAGCCGATTCTGAGTTATTGATGACTTTCTATCTTATGGAAAGTTGGCAACACCCCTGTCTGGCAACAAGCAGTGGCACAAAGAACTTCCTTAGTCAGCACTGGGCGTTCTGAGTACCAGCGTACAGTGGTGCCACATATCTACAAGTTTCAAGGTTTGGCATCACAGGATCTTTCACCATTGTTTAAGAAGACTGTTTTGGGCTGTCGTGATTGAAGATTGTACAACTATCTGAGTGCTCTCAGTGAGTCCTTTTATATACAGGGCTTCAGAAGGTTTGGGCATTCAGAACAGGATACATCTCATCAGTGAGCAGGTGACCGAAGACGTCAAAACCCAGCACTCAACACTTTGGTGAATGGACTCCCCCTCGTGAAGTGGACTCGCCCGTCGCCATCTGGGAGCATCATTGGTCGCTACGCAACCAGGCGGAGGCAGTGCCCACACACAACCACCCTGACCTTGAAAGGGCTGGCGGAGGCAACCACCCCATCACACCCCACCTGCGATCAGCTGTGAGGAGACAAGCGGGACGGATCACGTTTTCTATGAAGACATCCGACTAAGTCGATAGGTATTTAGTGTTCATTAAATATATACACACATTTACATATTCGACGACATATCTCCACATTGATAGGACACCTGTAAGTTATATAAATTTTTAAAAGTGCCTTACATGTTTTAATACGTACTGACTTAATATATTTTTCAGTATTTAATATCAGTTACTGTAAATGAGAGGCAAGTGTGTTGACATTTATGTAAGTCTGAGTATGACCCGATAGACGTTTAATGAAGGAATTTTTAAAGTCATCGTCTTGGGCCATTGATGAATTGACGGAGCATTATAGTGACGATTCATGTGTAGATGCCCCAGATCAAATTTCCACTGAAGAGACTGAGTTAGTGGGTGAGCCAGAAACACAGGCACAAAAGCAGTTAGACAGTTCTGTTAAAAGCAGTGAGGATATAAGAGAACATTCATCTGACGAATTAAACCGTCATACCCTACGGTCAGGTAAACAATATAGTCCCTCGCCTGGTCATACACAGGTTGTTCCTTCTCCTCTTCCGGGTTGCAGTGTGTCAGATTCATTAACCTTACCCCCCCCCCCCTTTGACAGAGCCTTCAGTTAGAAGTAAGTTTAATGGAATGCCTGCTTCTAACGCTAATATGTCGACTAACCCCTCAAATGTTGTTCACGTGTTACCACGTGGGAATCAGGTACGTGATTTCACGGGTCAGGACGATTACAGAATAACCCATTTCATTAGGGCATGCGAAGATACAATGTGCAACGTACAGATTACGGATGATCATGATAAAAAAGCGTTCGTTCGTTCCCACATCTCGCAAAATTTCTTTGCGAGTACGCACCTAACTGCGTATGGACTTGCGAAATTTCAAACGGGCTCTAATTGGTATATTTGAGTCTGGGTCCCACTTGGGCGAGCTACATTGGGTTTTTTCGATGGCTTATTCACTTATCACCTGTGGTACACGCAGAAACACCGGTCAGACAAGATATGGAAGCAACCTTCCGGGGAACGAAGTGGTATGATGACGATGGTAAGATGTCCCAGAAAAAGTGGAAACTTTGATAGAACTGATTATTTTCCTGTTGGAGGCTCGTGATCCCATCTATTGTCAAGCCCAGGAAATGGAGTTTACACCACCTACCACGATGATAGATTATGCTAACAAGCTTTCACCAAAGACGTCCAAACCTCTGACAGCACATAATTACAAAGCTACGACGCTTACACCGGTAGCGCCAATGAAGCCTTTGGTTCAGCACAAAGTTCATCACCAGGGTAATTACGATGCAGGTAACAAACATCGACAGTCATTGAGGTGTACCTATTGTAATAAAAGAGGTCATACAGTCGATGATTGTTACCAGCTCCAAGGTGGTGTTGTTAGAGTAAAGGAGAGAAGCCATCCCCCCTCCGGCTATCAGCAGAAACAGGGAGCACCCAAGACATACACGGAGGCGGCCAAGACTACGTCTTCACCTGGACCGTCAACAGTTTTGTGGTGTGCATTCCGTCAGTCAACAACTCACAACACGGATGAGTGTGACATAATGCTCAAAGCCAGGAGCGTGGATTCAGGAGTACCTCAAGTAACACAGCAGTGTAAAGCGCGTCGTTATCAGTATAGGAAGTCGGGGGGAAGGCCAGCGAGTGTAAAGAAACGAGGAAGGATAGGTACATTGGTACCTACTAGCAACAACACTTCTGTGGCAGCTTTCTTAATAGTGGCACTCGGTAAGACGGAAGTGTTGTCAGTACCGGTGAGAGTTGGAGATATCAGATTGGCTCTGGATATTGATACGGGTGCATGTGCAAATGTTTTAGCCTTGGCATACTATCAAGAGTTACAACGTAGATTCCCTCACCGAGATTTCTTATGGAGACCTTCTGACGCCGTTCTCGAAGGAGTATCCGGCACGCAGCTGAGCAATTCAGGAATGGTGACTTTACCACTAAGACTTTCAAGACGTGGCATTACCTTCTATGCAGACTTTTATGTGGTCCAGCAATTTAATTTGCCAGCTGACGGATTAATTGGTCTCCCAACACTGAGAAGAAATAGTATAGATGTTCGTCCACGTAATAATGCTATTACGTTTAAAGGTGTTTCCTATAACGCTATGCGTCATTCTGCACCATTGCTCTCCGCAAGATCGAAAGTG